TGGGGCCGCCTCCGTCTGCCACTCTCGCCTGCAGCGCGCGGAGTGGTGACTCCACTGAGCGTGTCAGCGACGAAAGGAGGGGCGGGAAAGTGGCTCCGGGCTTGCACGCTGCGGTCCTCCTCCCCCTGCTCCGCCTGCGCCTCCTCCCCGCGGTGCTGCAGTGCCGGGCGGCGGCTCGGCGAGAGTACGAGCGGTGCGCAGGGAGGGAGTCACCGCGCGCGGGGGAGGCTGGAGCGGCGCACGACTCCGTGCGGGGCGGGCTGCCTGGCTCGGGGGAGTCCGGGTGCTGAAGCTTTGCTGCAGCGTGGGCTTGCGGGGAGGGAGGGACCACCCCCAAGTGGCAAGTACCTTGGGAGGAGTCAGGGCTCCGAGTTTGCAGCGGGGGATAAGAAAGGGGCGCCAGTCCTTAATTGGTCACTGAGTGTGACTCTGCGTGGTGCACTGGGGGCGGCGCCCCTAGCCTGGTCCCGCGAGACCACAAGGAATTCTGAGTGCTGGACCTAGCTGGTGCCACGGGAGACAGGGTCTGCCCCATTTGTCCGGGGCTGGGACTGACCTGTTAACGTCAGCTGGGCTCCCAGGGAGCCCAGGGAGCAGGGCTTAAATTGACGAGTCCCATAACCCTCCACCTCCACGCTGGCATGCAAGTGGAGTGGAAACTTGGGGCTCGGCAAGAGCAAACAAGAAGAAACTTCGCTGGGTGTTTGGGGTCTCCCTAATGCCAGGTGGGGCCAGACAGCTCTCCCCCCAGGCAGACGCTGAAAGTGGCCGAATATTTTAAAAGAAATGGAGGAAGCACGGGAATTCTGCTTGTATCCTCAATAACAGTGGTGTGCTGGAGACCCTGACTCAAGCTTCTCCATTTCGGAGCAGTGGGCTTCTGCAGCTTCAGGAAACCAACCCTGGCGAAGCCTTTCCGGAGGCTGGCGCCGCCACCCCGCGGCAGCAGAGGAGGGCGTTGCCTTCCGCGGGCGTCGGGCGGCTGAGCCTAGATACTCCCCAGCCTCCCCACCCCCTGTCTCGAGCACTTCCACCCAGACACTGCGAGAAGCTGGGCTTCCCCAAGTCCCTCACCTGCCAGCTCCGCGCTCACGTGCAACCAATGCAGAGTGGGAAGGGGCTGCCCTGGGGGGTGTCCTCCTTAGTATCACTGCCCTCGTGATGGGTGACCCCAAGCAAGACAAAGCACAGCTCCTGAGCAGGATGCAGTGGGCGGAACTCTCTCTCCCTTTCTCTCCCTTTCTCTCCCTTTCTCTCCCTTTCTCTCTCTCTCTCTCTCTCTCTCTCTCTCTCTCTCTCTCTCACACACACACACACACACACACACACACACACGGTTTATCTGCCCATGTGCTCTATTCGTCGATGATTGAATAGATCAGTTGGTGGACATAAATATAAATATTCCGTGTACTTGTGCCCGAAAGAAGAGATACCAGGGCATCTCAGGCAGCCTCCTGCGCAGAGGAGCTGGTGGGGATGAGGTGGCTCAACTCTGAGCGGTGTTGTAAGGACGGCTTTCTGGCTTGGTTTGTGTCACTGTACATAATACTGTGGAGAGAAATGGAGACAATCCTTGGCTGATAACTTTCCCTTCTCTCCATCTCAAGCACTCAAGAACTCAGATTGCCGTGTCGAACCTACACTTGCTTTGCTATATGGGTCTTTGAAAACCTGTCTGGGTCTTGTTTGGGTTAAAGACTTTGCAGTTTGCAACCATATGTGGTGTTGTAAAGTGGTCAGGAAACAAGACAATTAGGGAATGTGATATTTGCATTTAATGAATCCTTCTGCATAAACAAATTATTTAAATTAAATAACTATTTAGGCTAAAAGTACTGTGTTGTTACCATGAGAAGGAAGCTGTACCCCACAAGAATGCCTAAAAATCTAGCATTGGAAATAAATTATGAAACTTAAAAACTCATAATTCTTATCCAGATTGCCTGTGTATTATTTCTAAAACGTTGAGCTCTCAACTGCAGAATGTGCTGGTCATGTCACTGAGTTCCCAAAGGGGCAGACACCCTCTTGAGAACCTTCCCCCAAATGTCACACGATAAAGGATTATTTCTCCAATGAGAGAAGTTCAGAAAACCATGAATGGTCAACATGCTTTGTGCTATGCTATCTCTTCCTTGAATCATTTTCCTGTGCCATCCATGGAAGGTATTTAAAGAAGTGTATCAATTTTTCTAGCTGCCAAGCTTTCCTGTCTTGACGCAGTTGAAGCCAGCAGCTCCTATAAGAAAATTTCCAATTGTGTGTTTGCGAGACAGGTCCGATGTAAGACTGTCCTGTGGTGGGGGACATCTTTTAAATTTAATGTTTATTTTTGAGTACAAGAGGGGGAGGGGCAGAGAGAGAGGGAGAGACAGATCTGACGCAGGCTCCAAGCTATCAGCACAGAGCCAAACCCATCATGACCTTGAGATCCTGACCTGAGCTGAAGTCAGTTGCTTAACTGACTGAGACACCCACAGGTTCTAAAGGGGACAGTATTTTAATGCTGTGTCTTTAGAAGACAACAAGTATTTTCTCATGATGATGGGATGCGTAGGTTCTTCAGCTTGCCCCCCAAAGCTGCTCTCATTTTAGGTTCCCACCTGGTGTACCCCTTGGCCCCAAGTGTACTGGAGCCAGCACTCAGTATAGTCTTCTTCACATCTTCATTATAAGGACATGTTTTTTTTTTCTCTTAAAAACACTTGTCTTGTAGGAGCTGATGGAGGGTAAAGGGGACACTGGCCCTGTCCCCACAAAATCCCAGTGCTCTGAAGTGGCTACCCTTCTACCTATCTCGAATTTTATTCCTCAGTGCAGTGTCTGCTCATCATGCTAGAAAGTAAGCCATTAAACACACCTAAGGAACATTAAAGATCTGTCTTCACATCTGCAAAGTAGATTCAACAAAAAAAATTCATACTAAGTACAGACACTGTGGTGCTTACGTTTGGTAACATAACAAGAAGCACCGTACCTAGCACATAGTGGGCAGAGAATAAATGTTAATACCCCTTCCCTTTTTAATAGCTAGAGTGAAGTTTTCCCAAGTCTGTGCCCTGGAGTGCTAGTCCTAGAAGATATTCCTACAGGCTCAGGGTAGCAAACAACTGGCTTCCAGAACAGAGACCTTGAGAAAGTTTCACACAGTTGAACCAAGGCTACACCATTCCGGTTTTCCTCACCTTCATCATTAGGGGGTCAGTAAGGAGGCACAGACACCCTTCTTAGCCCCAGTGCTAACATTGGTAGGTCTTGAGTCTACCAATGTTAATCTCATTAAGCTCTTGATGCCTATTTATATTGGCCCTTTTCCCCTATCCAGCTCCTGAAACTTTCTGTTTTGGCCTTCTGGAATGCACAACCCACCACTCGCAAAATGCTCTGTATCTGCAGCCTCTTCTCTGAAGGTCCCCTTCATTTCCTGCTCTGATTCTTCCCTGAGAGAGGCTGCTTCCACAACCTTCTCAAGTGATGGGTGTTTTTTTTTCTTCTCTAGATCTTGTATCACTGTGTCAGGAGGAAAGAAGGTGTTTTTTTTTCTTCTCTAGATCTTGTATCACTGTGTCAGGAGGTAAGAAGGTGGTCTCTTTCTCATTCCTCACTGCTACATTGTACATCCCTTCTCCCTAAACCAGTAGCTTTAAATCTCCCGTCATCAGGCTATTTTACACTTTAAATCATGTCACCATGTTCAGACCTCCAAGTCACTCTGCACCTTTCCTCACAACGTAAGCTCCTAATTCAAGGTCACTCCATAAACATTAATCCTACCTTAATCCTCACAAATTTAATGCACAAAGATGCTCATTCCAACCAGGAATTCAACTGAATTCAACTACAAATTCCGTTTAATGTTGGGCTGGTAATTTCCCAGGGCCCTGGAAGAAATAAAGGCAATTACTTCCTGGAGGAGCTCTCCTTCATCCCAAACTTCAAAAAACTTCCCTCAGATAAGTTTTTAGCAAAATCTAGTAAATGGTGAAGCACGCAAAACAACTAAACACAAAAGGAAGAATGGCACCATGAAGGAGCATCAGCAGATTTAACAGAAGAAACCTACATCCTTCCTCATAAAAAGACTTCAGATTTTGGAATTTCTAGTCATGATTCTTCTTTTACTTGAAGAAAAATAAAAGACAAACTGATAAATATTTGCAATAGGAAACTATAAGGAATAGACAATCACATTTGAAAAAGTTCCAAATCAACCTTCTGTCCAACTCTACCGGCTGTCTTACCAACATACAATCCAACTTCCACACACATATACATACCTTCTTCCTTTAAGAACCTTGATTTTATGTAGAGATCAAGCTTTTTTAATTGTACACATATATTTAGCAAAACAGTTTTACACAGACTGCTAAAACCACATTTCTTCAAATTTTAGAGAAGGGCGGGGCTCCTGCGTGGCTTAGTCGGTTAAGCGTCCGACTTTCGCTTGGGTCATGATCTCGCGGTTCGTGGGTTCGAGCCCCGCGTCGGGCTCTGTGCTGACTGCCAGCTCAGAGCCTGGAGCCTGTTTCAGTCTGTGATTCCCTCTCTCTCTGACCCTCCCCTGCTCACACTGTCTCTCTCTCTCTCTCTCCTAGAAATAAATAAAACATTAAAAAAAATAGTCTATCAAATTTTAGAGAAAGGCTTGAAATTCGTATCATTGCACAACCAAATCTAACTCCTGACTAGATGGATTACATTTTGTTTAGAGTTTAAAGCCTTAATGGTGGGCCATCTGGGTGGCTCAGCTCATTAAGCATCTAACTTTGGCTCAGGCCATGATCTCACCCTCTGTGAGTTCGAACCCCACAGCCAGGCTCTGTGCTGACAGCTCAGAGCCTGGATCCTGCTTTGGATTCTGTGTCTCCCTCTCTCTCTGCTCCTCCCCTGCTTGCACTCTCTCTCACTCTCTCTCTCTCAAAAAATAAACCTTAATGAAAGTAAAGCCTAATGGCAGTAATCATTATTATGATTAATAATACTGACTTAAAAACAAATTCAAAAAATAATTAATTAAAATTAAATTTAATATGATCTCAGATGCCCGTAAGGAAAGGTGTGCCTGATTTGGAGGAGTTTTTGATATGTCCAAATAATGTCCTTCTTGGAACTTCTGTGACGCTGGGGTCATGAGTCATCAGTCTGATTCAGACTGTCTGCCGGATACCTTGCATGCTACCAATCTCCTTTAGTCGCTGACCAGGTCTTCTAAGATCTATAAAAAAAAATTATAAAGTTGAAGTGTATCCTTTTCTTTCTCGCTTCTGGATAGACTTCCTTTCCTCACAGCTGAAAGCATTCTTATACGTCCACTCTCCCCAACTCTAAAAGACTATCTGGCACATAGAAGATTCTCCACAAATGTCTCCTAATTTAAACAGAACTGTCTGTCGAGTTCATTTCTGTTGAGAAAACAAGAAAGATATCTTCATCTGTTGGTGCCCAGATCTTGGAGGTGTTTAGCAAATAGTTGCTTAAAGCCAGAATGGCTTCAGGATCTTCGTAAGCAAATGGGAAGCTTTCAGAGTCCAGATGGAAGGCTGAGAATTAAAAAAAAAAAAAAAAATAGCTCAGTGAAAACTCAGATCCCAGAAGAATCTTTCTGCTCAGACTGCCAGGGAAGGAATTGCCCTAGGCAGGGTCAAGAAATGAGAACCTGAAGAGGTCTCTAGCTTCCCCTGGTGGCTCCGAGGGAACAGTAACATAGGAGTCTGTGCTAGGGCAGAGACCAGGAAGAGAGTAGAAATGTCCATGAGAGACATTCATTGGCAAAGAAAAGCAGACTGTGATGTCTGGAAAACATTCCTGTTAGGAAGGAGAGAGATGGGGGCACCTGGGTGGCTCAGTCGGTTAAGCATCTGACTTCAGCTCAGGTCATGATCTCATGGTTTGTGGGCTCGAGCCTCGCATTGGGCTCTGTGCTGACAGCTCAGAGCCTGGAACCTGCTTCAGATTCTATGTCTCCCTCCCTCTCTGACCCTCCCCTGCTCACACTGTCTCTCTCTCTCTCAGAAATAAAAAAAAATTTTTTTTAATTAAAAAAGAAAGGAAGGAGAGAGATGAATTAAAGGAAACTAATCTGTTCAGGGCTATGTCTTGGGTATACTCTGTGGGCCCATAATTGTCTCTCTCTGTATAGTTTGCTCCCTGTATCTGCATGTCTAGAATAAAGTAGATTTGTCACTTAGAAAATGTCTAACCTCCGTGCATGTGACTAATGATAAGACACAGAGGGGAGATTGTGGTCCTGAGGTCTCAGTCCCAGGAAGAGGAGTCCCTGATATCTGAGTGGCAAAGAAAAGTGGAGCCACCTCACATGACATATGGTGTCCCAGCCATTAGTTTAGAGATGCCCAGGAGAAGCACAGCTGTGAGAAAGCGACTCACCCACTTCCAAATCTCTCAGGGACTGTATAGTGTCTGAAAAAAGTATAAATGCTTCAGCCTGTCCATGTCTCATGTCATTGCCCATTAGAGAGACTTCAGCACAGAGGAAGCATTGAATCATGAGGTGGCCAGGGTGACTTGGCCGTTCTCTGACCTCAGCCATCCTACTGCTTGCACAATGGGCCTGGAGAACCATCAATCAATGAAGGGAGTTTTTGGTGGGATAATACCCAGTTGGCCATAGTGATAACCAATTCATTTAACCAACAAGCTACTAACTTTCTTCCTTACTTATTTCACCTCCTGACCCACTCACTATACTTCATGGGATGGATTCTCCAGTAATCAAACCCTAAACCCAAAGCTATATTTTGCCTATAGCTTCATCACTTATCAGCTTAGTTATAAGCATTCTGTCTCATTTCCTGAAGCGCCACAGCCTTTGAAAGCCCACAGACTCACTAATGCGATGTTTTCCATGTGAGAGGTACTAAATACATTTTGAGAAATTGTTCAAACATTTAATTAATGTTCTACATTTCTTCTTGAACTCCTCTTTCCAAAATGAGACTTATCAAGGGCCTTTCTATAGGAGGGACTTACAGCTTCAAATTTTGCATTGCTTGAGAAACCTCAAGCACTATAATAGTTTTAAGTGGACTTAGATTAAAATACACACACACACACAGACACACACTCACACACATTCACACATACCACACTTTTTGTGGCAAAAGTAATCTCTCTGAAATTCTTCCTGCTCTTTTTCTTTCAGGGACTTCTGCTGCTCGAAGCTCTCTAATAACTTTATGGATCATCTGTATCTAAATGACTTATAGCTCAAATCTGAATATTCCCATAGGAATATTCAGGAATATGCCACAGGTTTGTTAATACATTAAATTATATTAAATTATTCTCCTGCTCAAGGGAGAGTTATTGTTCCCATGTTCAGAATTTGTCTTGTATAATCTTCCTCTCCAAATTAGGGTTCTAAAACTCAGCTTTCCTATTTTAATAATAGACATGCTGATTTCTCTATATGATCTAACTATTAAAAATGCATGTAGTAAGCTCTCAGGAAGTTAGACTCACATCTATTTTTGGCATGATCCATAAATATTGGTGCTGACCAACTTTTGGGCTACAATTTGTTTTTTTCTATAAAGAGGTAGCAACACAATGAATGTTAATAATGGAAACAGTATTAATAGTCTAATTCATGTTTTCTCTTGCTTTACATCTAGACTAAAGCTATTCCTTGCTGATAAAAATATTTTTGAACTACGCATGCCTTTGCTCCACTCTCAACTTCAACAAGAGTTTCCTGGGTGCCATATTAACCATTTCCTGCATAATAAGACATCCAATGTGGACATTTGATCTCCCTTACTCAAACTGAAGCTCATTTATGTGTTCAGTGGTAGTCCAGAATTAAAGTTTCTTTAATCTTGATGGATTAGCGGAAGCTTAGTGTCTCTCCCCATACACTTGCCAGGGATTCTCTTTAAATCCCAAGAGAACAGCTTCCCACCTTCACTACTGATGAAAATTCAAATCAAGCTCATCCCAGGGTATTGTTAATTCCAAGGGAGGGAATAGGAAGTCTTATTTTGGCATAAAGACTAAGCTATAGTTTACCAAAAGTTCAGTGTTTGGGGTGATGAGGCATCTGCATCCTCTCTGACATGCTGAGAAAGAAGCTTCTTGCCTTCTTTTCACTTCCTTTTCATTCATCCCACAAAAGGCAGAGTCAGGTTCCTACAGGGCACCTTAAAAGTATGGTGGGCCTCATCTTGTCCCTCTGACTCACCACCTCAGAGGTCACCTTAATGCTGTGAAATTCCTGTTTCCAAAAGAAGTAAAGTCATTTCTAAAAGAAGAAAGTCATTTCTAAAGACTTTCTGGAGATGTAGGCTCAGAGATCCCTTGGAAGAACAGAAATCAGGCCAGGATTTCCATTAAACAGGTCCCCCAAATCACACTTTTTTTTTGGTTTTCCCAGACAATGCAGGAATGGTACAGAAGTGTATAAAGAATATTCCAGACCATTGGTTCTCAGAATACTCCATGAAGAGATTTCCTTGGCATGTTATCCCGATAGGTTAAGACCAAGAGTCACAGAACACAATGTTCACAAGATACCAGAAGATGGTTGTAACTTAACACACAGGCCAAATGTCATCTTGGTAAAATACAATTTTCAAGGCCATCTTCCATGCATCACCTTTCCAGAAGAAGACAAGATCCAGACACCCTAGGACAAAGAGCTCATAGGTCAGTGGGAATGAGCAGTGGTCTTAGAGGCTACTATGCTGAGACCTCAGATTCCTGGAGAAGGCAGGACTCCATATTCTTATTTACGAAGAATATAAGGATTCTCATCTGGAAAAAAGGATAGTAAAGTGCCACCATCAGAAGTTGCTACATGTACTCTTGCAGAGGGCCTTGGTCCCAGGGACAGTAGACATTTGGCAGGTAAAATAAGGCCTAGTAGGTAGGAGACCAAAGGCACAGTTGTCTCTCTGGTTGGCAACTCCTCTTCATCTTAGCTGGAAACATCTGCATATAAGGAAAGGCACTTGTTGAGAATCAGAACAAGGGCAGCAAGTTGACAAAACTCTGCTTAGAACACAGGCAGGTGGGCAGCAGAGATCTAACACGAGTTCAGGTTGGTGAAATCCCCCAGGAACCCAGGGCGCCATGCCTAGTCTTCTCTGCTAGGATGAAAGATGCATAGGCTGGGACCCTATGGCCCTGGGCTGGTCTTGGATGTGAAGCAGGACTGGACTGGGTTCCAAGCTGCGGAGCATGGAGAGTGACATGAGCGACAGCTTCCAGGAATGAAGCCAAGGTGACAAGCTAGCAAACTGAGACAATAATCCAAAAGGGCTATACAGAGCTTGAATCCAGATATGAGACCTGTGATGATGCAGGGTCTACAAACAACAGAAAATGAAGGTGAGACTAACTTGCACCAAAAAAAATGTGAGAGATTAGAAGAAAAGTGAGTCAATCAGAACCACAGGAAGAAGAGCCAGGTCTGGGAAAGACAGGAGCCAGGAGATGGCTGAACTCTGAGTAGCTCCTTTTAGGGCTCTGTCTTCTGAATGATTCACCTGCCTCTGCCTTTAGCCCTTGTGTCACCAGCCTGGTATTCTCAGGAGAGTCTGAAGGGCCCAACCTGGAGCACTCGACACATGGAGGGCTGGGCCAAGGGCACCCTGATGGACATGCCCACAAGGACCCCAGGGAATGTGAGAAAGGGCCACTTGGCAACAGAAGAGTAGGATGTGGCTCTTAGGGGAAGGGCTGTGTGGTTCTGTGCAAGACAAAACAAGGAATATCCAATTCAGGGCAACCGAATGACCGAGGACTTGACCAATGCCAAGGGCTTGAATGGAAGGTAGAGAGTGCAAGGTAGAAGGCCATTTGAGGCAAGAGTCATTCTACAGATTTTTACAGCCACAGCTGGGTATGAGGATGGAGCAATGAAGGGCCCTGTGCTCAAACCCACAGAGCAGCCACTGGTCAGGCAGGTGGTACCTCTCCTCCTTGGTTGAATTTCAAAGCATATGGTTTCAATACAGAAAATCTGTACCCCAAATTCTTGGCAGAGAGTGGTTTTAACTTCAAATCTTCTATACCTCATTCCTCATCGAAAGATCAGTGGGTACTAAAACAGTATTAATGAAGGGCCCAAATACCAGGCAATGCATCTATTTGATACTTCAAATGTTATACCTCCTATATACTGTGGCAGACCATATGTACTAGTTGATGGTTTTCCTTTATTTTTCTTTTTCACTTTACTTTTTTTGTACTTTG